CGAAAGTGGCTACGAAGGACCCCTTTGCGACCGACCACTGCGCCTATCTCGGGTCACCATCTCCCTTACGACCGCCTTCTCTAAGGTCCCTTCCTCGGCCTTGATCTCCTCCTGTACATAACATCACAGATTGCCGACCATGCTGCGACAAATAGCAAGCCGGCGTATGGCCTCGACATGGCTAAGAGGCAAAAGGCTGCCGGGCGCCGCTGCCTCGGGCGACCAGGTCACCGTACACAGGGTCAGATTCCAATCTCGGCGAGACTGGTCTAGGTATGTGCTGTGTACCTTTGTTTACTGTGCGCTTCCGCCTTGTTCGTACAAACGACTCTCGCTAACGCTGCTTTGATCTACAGAAGGGCTGCCGTTGGCACCCTCACCGGACTCCTCTGCTACTACACCTGGGTCTATGTTGCCACCCTGCCCCTGAGGCATTTGGACCTCAAAGCTTTACCGGAAATAGACGACGACGAAGAGGTTGAACCGTTCTTCATCCCATTCCCCTTTACCGAGACTCAGGTCCAGCCCTTGCCATATGCCGGTGCTGAGGAGGAATGGCAAGAGTTCTTGAAGTTCAACAAAGACACAGCACACAGACAACGAGTCAAGGATGATCTCAGCATGCTGGTCAAGAAGGCTGCCGAGCACAATCCAGTAACGAAGAAATGGGGCAAAAGTGGAAAGGACTTTCAGTTGGGACCTACCTGGTTGATTATAAGTTTCCCTGAGAGGCCACCGCCCGAATGGGTCCGCGCTGGGTAGGGATATTGTGACAGTCCGCTCTTTCCCAAAGCCATGTGCTGACCAATGTGCAGCATCGAGATAACCGACGATACCATCGCTATAACAACTCGAAAGTTCGATCCGAGAACCAAGGCTGTCCTCGATCGCATCCTGAAACCATACCCAATGGCCAGCGCCACATATGCGTTTGTGAAGACCTTCTTCAAGCAGAGTACTTCGGATGTTGCGAAGTTTTTTGGGTACTCATCAGAAGGCTCAATGATCTCTACGACAGACCTCGACCCGGAGATTACTAAGACGCTCAAGCGGCTCGAGGCCCGTCAAATCGCTACCGGCGGTGATGCAGCGAGCCCATCATCAGCAGCGGCCTCGACATCTTCAAGGACGGACCATGGGGTGTCGTCTGAGCAGAATGCTGATGATCGTCAGTCCGAATCCCGCAAATCAGAAGCCGTGACCAAGGGCGCCGAACGACCATCCGGGGAGGACGACAGGATGGCTATCATCAAGGATGCTATTCCTAACTACTCGGACCTGGTGGAGAAGGGCAAGGGTCCATGGGCGGCATTCGCCTCCCAGTACAAGCGACTGTGGAAGCCGTTGAAGCACTATCCCCCGCGGGGCTGTCTTGCCGTTCATGGGATGGTCTCTCTTGATTCGCCCAAGGGCCGTATCTTCATTGACGTTTTCGCATGGTACCACCCCAAGACCAAAGAATTTCACCAGGACTCCGTTCACATGAGTCTGAAGGCAATCAGCCCGTATAACCAGAAGCCGAGGCGCTAAGGCAACTGAAGGAAAGGGCACAAAATCGAGAAGCGAGGTCAGTTTGGTTTGCGCAGGAAAATATGATGGGATCAGTGATACGGCGTTCAGGGGCCAGCGGGAAGAGGTGTTTTCCGCATGGGTACGGCTTACAGAGCATTTATAGGTATATGCATTCGTCTTGGCGGGTCGGCCAGACTTCAGCGACTTGTGTGGGCCGGATTTCTCACTTGTGTGTGTTTGGGATACCAGGGAGCGATTGATAACAATGCAATGCGGAACTAGAGAACAGGATAGCGAGTATGTCACGGAGAAGACAGGTACATAGCGTTTCTCCTTGGCCATGGGGTGAAGATGACTTGTTCCTCATGACTATCGCAGCCCAGGACGTCCTGCGTCGCTACAGTTCGCTCTCCCCACTCGTAGCCTTCACCGCCGCCCATCCTTGGAATCAATGTCACTGTCACCTGAATACGAAAAGGTCATACCTGGATAGAGGACATGTTTTGTTCGGCCGCCAACCCGGACGGTGCGCGATCACACAGCAGCAACATTCGCGGGACTTAGGACACCCACATACACATGGCAAGACGATTTTGTGCTTGACGAAACCGCACTGGTCCGAGAAGTCTATCCGTAACTGCCATTTCGACAGCTCATTGCCCATGAGCGGATTGCCCACGATCAACATGCATGGCCCGGACCGTTGTGTAAGTAGCTATTGTAGAGCATAGTGATAATCTTTGTCTCGAAATACAGGATCTGCCTGGGTTGTCCATCTCAAATTGTGTGTAGCCCACGGGTATAGAAGGCTCCCATCTCCCCCGCCAAAAGAGCATAGAGCTGATATCGGATGATCCTTTACACACACGATACCGTTACTATAGAATATAGTATTGTTGAATAGCTCAGAGACAGCATTACGAATCATGTTCTCAACATGTCTCGAGGCTTTCATGTCCACCAAGATCGAGACCGCGGGATCTCCTTAGTAAAATCGAGGAGGCCGCGCTTGGCTGCCGGTATGGCGTCGTCAATGTCATTGCTGTCCGTCTCGCTAGTTTCGTCTGCTTGGCTCTTGGGTGAATTAAGGCTGCCGCCCCTGTGCTGTGCTTTGTCGTCGGCATCCTGTTGCTGGTTACCGGCCTTAACTATGAGAGTGGCGTCGGGCGTTGCGTCGGGCGGGTTGTCGTCCTCGTCAGCGGACATGACTTTCAGCAGGCAGACGGCGTCCCCGCTATCTGGCACCGCGGCATCGTCTCTAGACATCGCGATGTTGTCTTCGGACACCGCGATGTTGTCTTCGGACACCGCGATGTTGTCTTCGGACACCGCGATGTTGTCTTCGGACACCGCGATGGAGTGTCTAGCACGCTTAGCCGCTCTCTTATCACGCGAGAGGGCATCGGTTAGCCGCTTTCCAAGGGCTATTGTAGGTACTGTCATATTTAAAACGGAGTGAGAATGTCGAGATGGGTAGTATACGACGCTTTGAAGAAAGAGTGCGTTTAGGTAAGGTTATTACTAACGTCGATGCTGGTGGTAAAGAATGGACCAGGTACGGTACTGGAACGCCGATGCTTATAGGAAGGGATGGATCAGGTGAGGTAGTAGAATGTCGAGATTGGTGAAGATAGGATGGAGAGAAAGGAAGACTTCAGGTCTTGATGAGGGTGTCGAGGTGTAATCAAGTAGACTGAAGATCTCTCACGCGGTCGGCTCTCGTCAAACTAGGTCTATATCAGCTCAATGCCCACAGGACTATGAAGGCGTTGGAATCCCAGGTGTGGAGTTTCCCGACATCTGGATATGATTTCAAGTCGGGTTTGTCCTCGGGCTCGTGGAAATACAACCAGGCCTGCGCCATAGGCATCTTTAAGAAGTTATATAACTTGTTCAATATAGGTGACTAACCTCAAATATTTGCATCAGACTTACGATCGTCTTCTGGTCGCATTGCTCCACGATCTCAAGGAGCAGCTCCTTGCTAATTCGACATGCAGGCATGTTGAAGAAGGATGGGCTAAGAAAAATCGAGATATCGATGAATTAACCAAGAGCCATATAGGCCCGGGGGGATGATGACCGTGCCAATGTTCCCCTACACTTGGCTCTGCTCTTCTCGGTCTCCTGGGATAGGAGCAGTGAGGGCAGGCGATATATTCCTGTTGCAAGAACGTATTGATCAGGATTGCATTTTAGTTGGCTTTTCGTAGCATGAACAGATGTCATGCCTTGGTACTACTTCACCCGGATAGGGGGCCTGGGATTCCACCAGCAATTGTGTAATGGGTTGGTATATATAATAGCTACAGCACTCAAGCTTGAGGCTGACGAAATGCTGGAATGGATGACGTGACCAGATATAGGAGACGGCCTTTGGATCACTGCTGATGGAGAAACCACAATTGAATTATATACCGATCTCAATCTGGAACTTGTTACTTAAGAGACGCTGGATTGCTTGTAATAGTCAGCTCAACTTTGCTGTTTGGCAAAGTTCCATTATGCGGGCGAACAGCAAACCAATCCAATAAGTTTGCCCAGGTGGAACCTTGGAAGCCACAAGGAATGATTGTGACTGCATCACTTGATCTAGTCTAACAACTGGGCAGGCTTGTATTTTGAGCAGTGCCTCTACTTTGACAAACTCCACCTGACCTCGTCCGTTGACGCTCTATCTTGTAGCTCAGACGAAGAAGAGAACGGTAATAGATCGTCAAACATCTGGAGCTCCTCCACACCACAGCACCACCATCCATACCATCAATTCTTAGGCAAATAGAAATAGAACCTCAAAGAATTTTTGTGACAGGCAGTAGTGAATCACAATCAACTGGAGTGTCAACAATTCATCAGGTGCATCAAGACGCCCCCGGGGCCTGAGAAGGTTTGGCTTGCACATATTGATGCTGTGACAGTTTTCTGATATGGATGCCGCCACATCTCTGGAAATTGTTGGGCTACCAAGCGATATGGTGTCCAATGATCTAATGTCTGAAACGCACAGTCATCGGTATTGTTTGCAAGCAATTACTTGGTATTTGTAAGGGTTGGAAGATGCAATCTTCACATAGCAGTGACTTCCGCCATTTGCCTGCAAAACGGCCACACGCCGGGAAGTGGTCAAATATTGATCAACGTGAGGTATCTCGCATATACAATATGGCCTTCTCCTTAGGTCAAGTTCCGAGACCGCCATCGCTTACCAGAAACGTGCCATGGCCGAGATCTGAAGCACTATGCAGGAATATCAAGTCCTCCTTGTCACAACCCCCCCCCCCCCCTCAACCTGGCAAACGAGGCTCATCTGATATATAAATTTGTGAAGCATACCGAAACACACATAGCAAATAGAGGATGGTATAACATATATCCCATACAATCTACATTGTTCTATTCATATGCAAATCATAAATAATACAAAGTATTTCAGACGAGGCGACAGAAGGAACAAAAAGCAAAAGAGAAAGAACATTGGGATGTTGTGATGCCTAATACTGGAATCGAACCAGCCACCTCCTCATTACTAGTGAGGCGCTCTACCGATGAGCTAATCAGGCTTGTTGTGCTTGTTGAGAAGCCATTCTAAGTGGAGTTTATGATGATGTTGCCGTTGTGGATATCCGGGTGTGGACGAGTCGAGCCGTGAACCGAGTTTATTCGGGTCGAGTCGTGAGCCAGGGGTCACAGACTTGGAAGGGCCGGGCTCCACTACGCACGGGAAAGAGGATACACGAGAGGTCTTGAATATTGAGAGACCGTTTCGGAGATGTACCTGGGGACCAACGTTGAGACTCAATACTATGCAAGGGGCGTGCAGGGGTGTATACGGGACGGAAGATATCCATCACGAATTCGACACCACTAGTGTACTATGTATACAGTCCGGGTATCAACCAGCATTATCATATAACTATCTATCTATTTCCAAAATGTATATCTCTTCGTTTACTGCCCAGGACCACCAATCGCCTGATAAACAAGCCCACAAGGCTCGAACGCCGCAAAACACTCTCGAGCTTCTATCTATCGTCTTCTTTTAACACTCTATTTCTAGAACGGATCAAAAGGTTTCCGCTCCACCGACTTGCCCCATGCCTCTTCTGACAGGGCATTCCAGCGCACTCTATCCTTGACAGGAACGACTTCGCTGCCTTTAGTCCGACTCGTGGGGCGTCCCATCTCTTCTGATCTATTGGCCTTCGTCTTGGCGCCATCTAGGTGTTCTGGTCGTCTAAGCCCGCTCTCTCCATAACGTCTAATCTGCAGTTCGAAATTCTTTCCCTTGCATGCTTCCAGGATCTGTTCGGGGACCCCGTTAGGCCCTTCAGCAACAATCAGAGTCTTCAATCTCCGGGCCATGAAGTCCATGTTCTCGATCATCATGCTGAAGAGCTCCGTGACCATCTCGTCCGAGCCAAGTGGCTCGAAGAACTCCAGAGTCTCCAGCTGAGGGGGCAGGCCGGCGGAGTGCATCCTCGGCTTCTTGCCCGTCTTGCCGAACAGCTGGGTGTCGAGGCTGAGGCGCAGCGTCTTGCACGACTGGAAGTCCCTCAGCCGCAGCACCTTCCTTCCGCCCAGGGTGGGGTGGTCGATTGTGATGGACTCGAGGGTCTCGGCCTGGTCCTTCAGTGCCATTATGTGCTCGTTGATCTCATTGGAGCTCTCCTCGAGCTCTGGCTGCGGGTCGGCGGTGTGGTACATGTAGAACTCTCTGAGCCCCTCGGGGAACTCCAGGATGTCAGCGAGTGAATCGTCGTTGATGTCGCACTCGATAAGACGCAGTGTCTTCAGGGCGGTACTGTGCGGGCGTTCCATGAAATCAAAGCCCTTCTCATCAAGCTTGGCCCTCTTGATGATGAGCGTCTCGAGGGTGGGGTGGGTGAAGATGTGGATGTTCTCCCGGAGGTCCCAGTAAGCATTATCGGGGGACTGAAAGAGCAGGGTGCACGACTTGAGACAGGCCAGGTCAAAGGGCCCGTTGAACAGGGCGCCGATGCCATGCAGCAGCTTGACCGGGACTGCGATGTCGAGGGTCTCGAGGTTCGACATGGCCGAGAGGGTGCGCGAGAGGCCATCGATGCCCTTGCGCGAGTAGTGAGATGTGTTGGACTGCTCGAGCGCACTGTCCAGGATGAGATGCGACAGCTCATAGGAAGGGTACTCGAGCTTGACATCCTGGATCAGCGAACCGCGGCGCGGACGACGGTGCAGTGACTCGCTGAAGGTGAGGTGATGTTCTGGCGACTCGAAAAGAATGCTCTTGTAGAGGATACGATCGGCCAGAGCATGATACTTCTTATTGGCGAGCGACATGTTGCAGAGATCGCGCCTCGAGTTGTGACCAACAATGTCGAAGATCATCAGGAGCAGCTTGTCGGGCAGTTGCGCGAGGCGGCCAAGCTGTTCCCGGTCATGTTCAATCTCCTGTTGCGACTGCGACTGCGACTGCGCCTCTGAATGCGACTGCGACTGGGCGCGGCCATTCTGAAGGGCGTCGCGAGACATTGCGGAGGCAGCCCCGGGCGTGTGGGGGGCGTGAGCAAATCGTACTTGTAGCCAGTGATATCGTCTAGGGGATCTAGAAGAGGAAGAATATATAGCGAAAGGATGATTGACTAATCAGAACAAAGAGCTCCTGTTCCAGAATGTTGCTTTACGTTGATTTGACGAGGGAGATGATAGAAGGGAAAAGAAACCGCGGCGAGGCGAGACGGCGCAGTGCGGTGCAGGCGCGGTTGTGGTTGCAGTGCGGCTCGCTAATCAATTATAAGTGAGGAGGCGATGGATGGTGGGTGGGATGAGGTGAGGATCAAGTGATGGAACTAGCCAGGCTTGGGAAAGAAGTCAAAACAGTCAAGCCGGAGCCAGAATCTCATGCACTTCAGCTCAAGGTCAGACCACGCTGCACGTGTGCCTAAGCTAGGTAGAAAGGTGGTAGGTAGTAGTTCAGTTGCAGTAGTACTGTTCGGTTTTGGGATCGGTCTCGTTAATTCCGACAGACCGGGCCTTGTGTCTCTGCGATCTACCCGTCACAGCTCCTAGCTGCCGTCCGTCGCACAAAGACAGACCTTTGGGAAGGGATGTGAGTCACATGATGGAGCTGAGAAAATCGCAATTCCTAAGTCCTGAAAATCAGCATGGAGAGAGTAAGAAATTGGATGCGTACACTGGCATCTGCTTGGTGTTTTGTGCAAGGTTAATTGGGGTTTTGTGGAGGCGCACAGGCGAATTCCGGATGCTAGTACCTAGGTAAGTACCTGATGGCCCAAGTACGGTCCACTGATGCTTAAGTACCCAAAGTAATGTGGTCCTCCTGCCGCAGTGGAGCCCCCGGATCGGCCAGTGCTCCTCACCTGGGCAGGTCCCACTGGGGGGTGATGCTCCAGCAGTCCAGGTACGTCTTCCAGGTACCTCTTCCAAGGTTCCTTCCCCAGACGATGCCCACAACTCCGTTGCTCGGGGAAGTCAACCAACTGGCAGCTGACAACCTTGGAACTTTGAAGCGTGGAGTCTTCTCCAGAGGTCCCGCAGTGCGAATGTAACGTCAAATTTTGTATCTCCGTAATGGAAGCTCAGAGTAACCCTTACCCTTCATCCACTTTCTAAGGTTGCTTCCTTACAGTACCTAGGTAACCTTGGAACTCACCTGTGTACACTAAGTACTAGGTATCTAAGTATCCACCTGCACCTCGAATCCCTTATTACTAACACATGGTTGGAAGTGCGGAAGAGGGCAACTCGAGATAACCTCTTGCATTCTGCTTAAGACTTGCTGCATTCATTAAGTTTAATACATTATAAACCATCAGTTGTCCCGTAACCGGGATTGATCAAGAAAACATCTTGCCCCTCATTTGAACATCCCAACAGAAAGCTCAGGTAACTTGATCATGAGATACAAGTTCAGTCCCCCCCCCCCTACGGCTCCAGGTCATCAGGAACCCCCAAGAAGGGCCTCAAACGCCGCAGTGTTGAACTCAGAGTACACAGCATCGATCTGCACCGTCTCCGGGTTGACGTCGAACTCGATGATGCCCTTGACCCCATACGCATTGCTGCCGATTCCTGAAGCGTTCCACCTCCAGTTGATCTTGTCACAAGTGTGGAAAGTGGCCAGTGTCTCGACCACGGGGAGCGGCGGCGTCTGGAACTGGCTGGCGATATAGGCCTCCTTACTCGGGTAGGCGAGCTCGCCGAGCTGTACTCATACATAATAGGTGACATGTCAGCACGCGTCAACATCTTCATGGAATCATGTAGCGCATGGGTCACACATACAGGTCTCTGTGAGAGCGTAAGGATGGAGTCAGAGTCCACAAAGAACTTGTCCGAAAGAATGGCATCCGCGGTGCTGTTGAAGTCAGGGCCGCCGGGCTGCTCGAGGAGGTATGTATAGCCATCGACTAGAGTTGTAACTCCGGCCGCATCCAGGCAAGAGTGACGATGGTGTCGTGCGCCCTTCGGGCCGTCCCATGCTTGTACGAGGACGCCGGCGGCGAGGGTGAAAGCAGCTGTGATCGTCGAGATATGCATTTTGACCAGTTGGATAGTTCTGTCGTTCTTCTGTTGGACTTGTTCATACTCGATTCTTCAGAGCCTTTGGGAGGGTTGTGATGAACTTATATGAGAAGGAAGCTCAGTCGGTGTGGTTGCTGGCAGACGCAGTGAGACGTCACACAGAATACGAGCAGACCCTAATGCATGCTGTATAGTAAGACGTTATGCTGATCTCTGAGAAGGCCTTACACCTCAATCTATCTGAGCCCGGCGGTGATTTATTACCTATCTACATAGTACACACACTACTATTAGGTTGGTATGTAGGCGTCATTGTTGTTGAAGGCTACGATGTTCAACAATCCCACCATTTTGAAGCCCATTGCTGCGCCAGGTTCTGTAGTGATGCTGTCATTGACTCAACTGAAATTTGAGAAGTCGCCCATCCGTACTGGTTCTATGCAGCATCTCCCTGTGGAATTGCTTCACTTCGGTAATTGCAGAAATCAAGAAGGCTGTTGTGTATCCCCAGCCACTGCCGAAGGTATGGGTGCCATGTGCCAGATTGTCCCGAGGTACCCAAGAACTTGACACTGTCAGCGCGGCTCTCGCACAACTGGTAAGGCGGCTCATGTCATATATGCATGTCTCATGGCTTGCGCTGCGATCGTCATCAAGTGCTCGGCTTCAAAAATGGAAAAAGCGGTCTCACCGCGTGTTCTTCGTCTGTACGTGCTTTTTCGAACGTTAGGAAGTGACTCGGTGTCACTTAAACACCACTCACTATTTCGTCAACACATGAAGCCACACCGTGGCTTGTTTCAAAGAATATGCTAGTAATCCCAACCCCTGAATTATTTCCAACGATTGCCCTGGATTCTTTTGGATGCTCGGAGAGGGTTGAGTGGCCCCGAGAAGGCGGCACAAGTTCATGAGACATGCGTCTTACAGCGAGAACTTCATAGCAATATAACACAGATATCTTGATATGTCGCCTGAAAGTGGGTAATCACATGTACTGTATATGAAGAACACTCTTCCGCAGGTCGTATACCAAATA